AAAACAAATCCAGGACCTATGCATCGACGAGTTCGACCCAGCCGAAAAGTCCTTGCAAGGACCAATTTTCTTGCGGCACAGCACACGGAGTTGGAAGAAGCTCAGAGAAAAGTGGGTGCAGTATTGCAGGAATTTACAGAAATGACGGACTTTCTGAGGTTGGTTTTTATACACATTTTAAAACATATGTGCATTTACATGTATGTAATAAATATATATTTACAGAAATTTTGTTTTGTTTTCAGTCGTCCTGATCTGCTTCTATCATGCTACTGTGGTAGATGTGAAGTTGGACCACCCATTCTTTCTGAAGGTTTGTGTTTTGTGATTATAATTTTTATGTTCAGATTATGCATATATTCTATGTGATATGAAATAATTGTTTAATATTATTTTTCAGCTGTGAATGACAATTCGCCAATTTTTTAGATAATAGGGTGATTAATATTCAATTTGTATTAGGATAACATAATGAGTGAAGGAGTTCTCTCGCAAAATAATACAATGCATCCTTATAGCATTTGTGGCGGTGCACAGTGGTCTGAAAGCGTTATAAATTTGCCAAAATTTAAGGTTATCGATTAAATTCAAATTTAACTTTATTATTTTCTAAATAAGTAATAGTAATCTTTGCAAAAAGTTGTATTACTTGCAAAGAAGTCTCATTCTTTCAATGTCTTAACTTATTAACTATTTTACAAGTTATTAAAATGCCTTTATGTATTATCGTACTCCGATGTACCCCACTCAAATAAAGTTTTTCATATATCATTTTACTCCTGAATATATCAATTTTCTTATATGCTGCTACTTCTTTACCTGGACATAGTTATATTTATTTATATCAAGTAAGATAAATGATTGCTTTTGTCACATTCATCGAAATATAATATATTTCTATCTACCTTTGAATCTTCTTTTGTTTTTTTTTCATATACTCTTGTAAACTTTTTTGACATTTATTATTGTTGGTTATAAAAATTTATTTCTTATAAAATACAGTGAATGTATTGAAAAAATGATTATTTATATATTCTATTAATATTTATATTTTCAGAAATTTTTAATTAATTAAAGGTAAGTTTTTCGAAAACATTTTATTCTTTAAATTGCTCAATTTTGGTTCCATAATAATATATGTACAGGTTAATTAAAAGTAATAATATATAAATGTTAATGTTTTATTAAATATAATGATAATAATTTATTATAATAAATATATTATATTAAATATTTAATTTGCATATATTCTCAAATGTTCATTTATAATATATAATTTAAATTGTTTAATAGAAGGACACCTTAGTAACTTTTTTAAAAAAAGGTTTAAAAATATTAAATTTAAAATCCATTTTAAAACTTTAATATTACAATTTTCTATTTCTCAAATTCTATTAATTGTTTATTGTTATTTTTTATAACAGTTTCAGATTTTACGAATGCAAAAACCTTCCTACTAAGAACGTTTGGGTTCAATAATTGAATTTTAAACACTTTTATCCGCCATATTATATCTACTATTTTATATTTTATTATATTTACTATAAATGTAGACTCAGCGAACTCAAGAATCTTATTGTGAGCAGTTCCAACCAATCCCCATTATATTTTGAATTTTGGCAGTTTTTCGAGTCCTTCAGACCACTGTGCGGTGGTTGTAGTTCATCGCTGTCCTATTCCAACTCATGCGTCATTATAAGTGCTAGATATGGACAGAACCATCAGCATGAAAAAGTCTGTTGCAAGAGTCTAATACCGAAAAAGCATAGAACTTCTGCAATCGTAGTAGGATGAGCTAAGTGCGATCTCCGTTTGGCGCGACTGCATTTACGGTATAATAAGTATACTATAAGGGGCTACATGACAAACTTTATCAGCATTGACGAGTTTCATAGTAAAAAGACATAAGTTTACAGCTATTCCAGGGGCCAATGAAAACCTCGCCTAAGCCCTTTGGTCGCCGACGATTCAATTTATTTAAAAAGTAGTGACTTCAGCAAACAATAAATAATTTTAAAAAACAAGATTTTACTAAATATATTTAATTAATTTTTTTTTCTTTTGGTTTTGAATTACTCAAAGAAAGAATATCCTAATTAAAATTACAAGAAAATTTGAAGAGCTCAGACTTTTGGGTTGAAGTTTTTGCTGAGTAGCAGTGATTTTAGCATAAAAATACAAAAACTTGATATTCTTAAAAATGCGTCTAACGATTTTTTCCTTTTTTGTCTTAAAGGGGAGTGACACCTTTGACCCCGAAAAAAATCTATTTTTTTTTTCGTTTTCTTAAACGATACTTTATGATGTGCAGAATAGAAATTATATCAGCAAAAGCGATTTCGAAGTACTAATGCTTTAGAGTACGTAGCGGATTTTTTATTAGTTTGTTTGTTTTCTTTGGCAATAGATTTTTTGAAAAAAGTTCGCCCTAAAAATCGACTTTTTCCTTCAAATAGCTGATAAATCCACAAAAATTAATATTATTTTTTAAAATATCCTACGTACTTTAAAGCTAAATCTATCACAGATTCAGAACAAATTTGAATTTTTGTTTTATATTAAACGATCTAACCAGAATCATGCTCACCAATTTGCCCTGCAGAGAAACGAGACCAACTTTAGCGGCATCTATAGTCAACAAATTAAAACTTTTTCCAAGTATAAATATATTTTTGTAAACTTAAAAAGTTAACAAATAAAGTTATTGAAACCAAATTTTGTTTACTTTATTCCTTTGACTTAAAAAAATTCATGAAAAACAGGTTCAAAAGAGACCTCAAAGGTGTCACTCCCCCTTAAATTACTGAGGAGACATAATAGAATAGAAATTCACAAAAAAATCTGAAGTGGCTCGACCTTTAGGTTGAACTTGGTTCGGACCCAACGTGTGACGCAATGTCCTAGGGCACTTTTGAACGTTCTAAAGTCATCCTAAAGATATGTTGGTGCCCACTTGGAAGTTGAATATTTTCATAGTATCCTAAAAATGTTCCAACCATATCCTTAGAATGTACCAAACATATGCCGAAAATGTCCAAAGAATGTACTAAAAAGTTCCAAAATCTTTAACCTTCAGCCCGCCGGCGTTTTGCAAAATCCAGCAAAAAAACCTAAATTTAGGCTTTCCTGCAGTCTACAGGTTAATAACCGAAATGAATATTACATTGAAATTATGTATACTTCATAGACTAACGCGCGTATAATGTAAAGGGTATTAAGTCTTAAACCCCAAACGACCCACAGCACCGAAGGATTCTTAAAGATCCAAGTAGCCAAAAAAAGTATATCGCGATTACTGGTCATATATATTGATCCTTATGGGCTAGTTCGCCAAAAAAGGAATATGTTACGAGAATGTACCAAACATGTCTTAAAAATGTACAAGAGTTCTTTGCAATATCCTTAATATGTCTAAAAAATATAGTGAAAATTTTCAAATTTTTTCCATTATTTTCAAAAATATTCACAATATTTCTTAAGGATATTTTTGTAACTGCTCTGGGACAGATATAGAACTTGTTTAAGACGTCTTTATTTCATTCTTTTTGACATCTATAGGATGACTTTTTAGAGACATTTTTGAGATGTCCTTAGGATATCTTTAGATTTAGAACGTCTTTTTAACAGTGTCCCAAGAACGTTCTGAAAAGAATGTCCTTGGGACATCTAGTGGTGCTCATTGGGTTATTTCAAAAACGGCTGAGGGGATTATTTTCTATTTTGTAAAAAAAATCAGTCAGAAGTGTCACAGAATCAAACACAGCAAGAAATTTGGATGTGGTATTTACTTTAAATTAAAATCAGTTTTAGTTTCTACAAAATAAGATAAAATTGTACTAAAATCGAATTTTTTCAAAAACGGCTAAGGGGATTATTTTAAATTTTGCAGAAAAATCATTCAGAAGTGTCACAGAATGGAACCAAACTTGAAAATTGTAGGTGCTATTTATCTTCATTTAAAATGTGTTCAGGACACCCGTGCTTTGTTAGATGTGGCTAAAGTATAATTTTATATTTTTCTTAATGATCCTCAATGATGAGGTGGTAAAAGAGTTGGCAGGTTTTATTTGTTCAAATAGTCAACACATTTAGGGCAAATGTGAAAAAAACTGTTTATTATTGATATTGTTTATTATTGACCCTGATTATTGATAATAATTATTTGAAGAATAATTGTTTTTGTCTACCGTTGTTATTATAACGGTAAAAATGATGATTTAATGAAAGTTATTTTATTATAATCGAACCCTGATACACAATACTAATAGAATCAAGTTGATGGATCTTGACACGAAAATATGCAAAAGTATATAAGGTTAATTCACAATGATGAACAGGCAGTTTCAACTATCAGTTATATTCGCATTGCTCTTTTTATTATATTTAGCCCTGTTGAAAATTCCTATGTGAGAACACATATGGGATCCCATCCAGGATCTCTTGTGAGTTCTTATGTGGGTTCCCATACAGGTTCACACATAAGATCCTGTATGAAAAGGTTCCTGGGATGAACTTGCGTGAGAGCTCGCTCATGATCTTATGTCTCTGTAAAAGCAATAACACAGGAAACCTCATGGGATCCTGTGTTATTGCTTTTACAGAGACATAAGATCATGAGCGAGCTCTCACGCAAGTTCATCCCAGGAACCTTTTCATACAGGATCTTATGTGTGAACCTGTATGGGAACCCACATAAGAACTCACAAGAGATCCTGGATGGGATCCCATATGTGTTCTCACATAGGAATTTTCAACAGGGAGATTTTTCAGTTTGACACAGTTTTGGTTAAAATAGCCAGCACGTATGGGTGTATCTATTCCAATCATTTTGTGTCGTAAATATACAAATAATTCTGGCAGTATTGACCTGTGATTTCTATGAATGATTTTTTTCACAAAATAGCATGCTATCTAATTCCTGATTAAGTTAAGCAATTAATAAATATAATTGTAGGTAAAAATATACAGAGTAATAAACTTAATATATTTAATAATAGTACCTGTAGTTCCAGCACCGGTATATGCTATAAGACATCTACTGGTTGATAATTCCCATAATTTAATTAATGAATCTTTTCCAGACGATAGTAAATACTGAAAATAAAATATTGTAATTAGTCGTATACAAAAAGTTGTAATGTAAAACTTAGAATTCGAGTTTGGAAATGAATGCTCTCACCTTTCCATTTCGTGTAAAAGCTACAGAACACACTTCAAATCCATCATGTGCTTTCACAAAAGTATTTATACATCTACTAGAAACACCATCCCATAATTTAATACTTCCATCTTTTCCAGCTGAAGCATAAGTTTTTGCGTCCGGTGAATATTTGATACTAGTTATTCCAGCTGTATGCTGGTGATTTGGTATGCTGCATACAAAACTTTGAGCAGTATTAACATCATATAATCGAACGACTGGCTGGTTTGTACCAACCACTAAAAAGTCGCCAGTTGGATGAAATGATAGACATCTTATTTGATCGGCATCTGTGATTGTACGAAATGCTTTTTTAACACTCGCTTTACTATAATCAAACAGTTTTATTGAAAAGTCACGACTTCCAGATACTAAAATAGGTTCTCTGGGATGAAATTCTAAACAAGTTACTTCTTCAAGATGATCATATAAAGTTCGAATTACCGGATGACCTCCAGTTTGATCACTAGCTACTACTTCATCAGGTGCAGACTTTGCTAACATTCTATCGACATCTAATATTTTAATTGATGCATCCACTGACCCAGTAGCGATTAACTGCCCATCAGCAGAAAAAGCGCCTGCTCTGCAATTGCCTTTGTGAGAAGTGACGTATGCAGTTTCATATTGAGCGGGTTCTGGTGCTTGTACCTGAGCTTCAGTTTCAAATTCCAAGTCTAAACCCGGACCGATAGTATTATCCAGTGATGAAAAAGTGCAATTACTTCCAAGCTCTTTTTTAGAACGATCCGGTTCATGGGAGATCCCAGTTAACATTAAATGATATAAACGATCTGATGGAGGGCATGGCGGCTCTGCTTGTATGGTATTGGATAATTGAACAGCAAGTGTCTGGTGACCATCGTAAAAAAGTTGGCTGTAAATTTAATATATGTTTGAAATATTTTTTCAGTTTAATTAATAAAAATTGAATATATCACCAAAAAAAAACACTTTAAGGGGGGCGCCTACTTTATCGGGTCAAGAAAAGCGATTTTTTAAAAGTTGTCTTAACTGAAAATACAACTATCAGAGAATACCCAGCAAACACGAATACGTAATGGTTATATATTTGTTCTATAACAAGATGTAACACGTTCTGTCACAAGCTTGTAGCATGTTACAAGCAGGTTATGATAAATGTCAGCTCTGATCTCTGTAACAGATATGTAATAAATACATAACACTGTTACTAGTGATTTATAACAGATATGTAACGATTATATAAATTAATTACAAATTTTTTAAATCCAGTAACAACATCTTATATAACATCTTATATTCTTGTTACAAAAAATACAGTTAAAATTAATATAATAAATTAAGAGAGTGTCATATTTTGTCTTAATTTGATTTTGATAATGTTAATAAAATAAAAAAAAATTTGTAATCCTAACACATTCTCGAAATTTTTTAACCGGTTGTCTCCCGAGATTCGAGCTTTCGACCATCACTAGTGTACTTACACTGCAGAGCTCAACCGTACTGGGAGCTGCGCCTAGACGCGCTCGACCAAGGGAGACTACAAATGTTTCTTAGGAAATGTTCCTTGTAACAAACATATGAAATAGATAGGTTTATTATTTTGTAAGACCATCAAACAATTTTTTAGTTGTTTATTATTTATTACAATGAGTATATTAGCATATCGTTTCTAAAATATTAATAATTTTTAACAATATAAATAATTTTTATTTGTTAATTCTTAAATATGTTAATTAAAATAAATGTAAAAATTGTTAAATCTTTTAATTATTGTATTTTAGAATTTATTACCTTTTAATTTTTAATTTGAAAGGAAATAAATCTTTGCTTTAGTCAAGAGGACAGTACATATAAATTTCAATTTTCTCCAAAAAAGTAATTAAGTAACAATGTTGAAACAGTAAATTTTTTTTAATTAACTAATATAATTTATATTACTCATAATAGTGATTTATAATATTATATATAAGAATAGTGTGATGTAAAAAAAATTGGTAAGTCTCAACAAATTGCAAGTCTTATAGTAATTTTTTACGCAAAGAATTTAAAAATTATTTAAATATAAAACAAAGCAAATATTAAATTTCTAATAAATATAAATTATAAAAATGTACGAAATTCAAAACATTTAAAAGTTCCCAAATTAATCAAATAATTTATGTTTCGGTCAAGTTTCAATATCCAATATTATTGAAATTCTATGTTATAGAATAACAGCGTTTTTTGATTTTGTGGCCTTTGGGCCAAAGGAATTGGACCTTAAAATCCAATTCTATGTTGTATAATATTCAAATATTAAAACAATTGATGTTGGCATAAAAATTAACAAAATTACTTTGCAAGGCATTATTAATGGAAAAAAATTAACATAGGAATCTTACAACAAAAAGGATGAAACATTTAATGACATTTGTGACTGAAGTGTTACAGAACATTTGTAGATTTGACATAATGTTATAATTCTAGAACAGATAGTTATTAATAATTTCTATACGAAAAGAAAAATCTAGTTTTAATAACATGAAAATGATTCCTACCATTAAAGCATGAATTTTTCTTACAAAGAAAGCAAAAATTCATACGTTCTTATGTTTGAGAAACACGTCTTCGTAGTATGCATTTAATACTTTAAATGAATGAGCGCCACGCATAAATTGTATGAAACCAAAACCTACTACTATTGCAGGAGTCTCATGCTTTTTCGGTATTAGAGTCCTGCAACTGGCGATCACCAAGTTTGAGTCAAGTTAAAGTGAGCGTAGCTTAATCCCCAGTTGCAGGACTCTAATACCGAAAAAGCATGAGACTCCTGCAATAGTAGTAGGTTTCAGTTTCATACGATTTGCGTGTGGCGCTTGTGCATTTAAAGTATTAAATACATACTACGAAAGCATGTTTCTCAAACCTTTTAAGCATGGACTGTTTTAGAACTCTAATAGAACATTTGTTATAGAATAATTTAAGAACAAATTTCCGGATATATTCTATAACAAAAAGAGAAATATTGTTACAATACAAAGAGAATATTGTTCTAGAAAGGTGACATAATATTGTTATATCAAAATTCTAGAGCAAAAAAAGTACAAAATTTCTAGAACATTTGTGATTTAAATGTTCTATAACACTTATGGTACTTATATCTAAGAAGAGTTCTGGAACAAAAAAATAGAACAGTTATGTAACATATTAGGAACATTGTTCTAGAACACTTACCATTTGGTTCTATAACTGCTACATGTTATTGATGGCACAATTGTTCTAGAACAATGTTCTTTAATTTTAATAGAACAATTATAGAACGTGTTTGCTGGGTATGCTCTTAAAATATTACGTCAAAATACAAAGTATTTTTCGACTTACAGCTTGCAGAACGCAATAAAGCGCGTGGCCTGGCCCGCGACTCCACTCGCAGTCTCTAATACTTTTCATAATTTGTTGCGCTTATCTACTATTACACCTACCATTAAAATTACCATTTATCAGTAAAATGTCGTCTTATCCATAAAAAATAGTCGTTCATCGAGGCCGAGAAAAAGACGTAAGTTTTTAATAAACAGCACTTACATGTTTTTCAATCTTTAAACTCGTTTTTCTCAAAACACTGTTTTTGTAGTTTGTGTACACGATAGACAAAAATCTATTCAACCGATTAAGGTCTACCTGGGCTTGTTATGAAGATAAAAAGTGTCTCTTCTGTATGAATTAATTTTGTTTTTGATAGAGTTAAATTTAGTGCTTTCTTTTTAAAAAAAATGAGATTTTTTTTGTCAAAAATTAAATTTTTTTTTAAAAAGTCATGTAAAAATGTCAGTTTTTACTTTCTATTGAAATCTTTTAATTCATACAGAAGGCAATAATGTATATTTAAAGAAAAAATTTTGTTTTTTTGTTTTAGATAAGAATTGTGGACCCTAGGTTGTACGCAATGTGAAAATTTCAGCAGCGAGGCGTTATATATATGGCGTTTATTTTATTATTAAATTCTTTTTTCATTTAAGCAAAAAATTATATTTCAAAGATTTAAATATATAAGAAAACATACACTAAATCTCGCATCGATTTATTTAAATGTGTTTGAGAAAAAAATTCCTGAAATGTACGCAGTTTTTTACCTTCTAAAGTTGGCGCCCCCCTTAAACCGTTTTTCAAAATTAAAAATTTTTATAACCTTTTTTTATAACAACAAATTTTTGCATCATTTTTAAAAAATTAATAAATAATTTTTAATAATAATTTTATAAACAATTTGTAATTTTTATACTTTCTGTAGCCAGGATTATAATGAAATTTATATGTAACATACCTTGGACTCTTGTCTTCATATTCCTGAAAAAAATTTGTATTTCCAATTATAACCGCAGATTTTGAATTTTTTTTGCGCCGTGCACCGCTCGCCAAAGTGGTTTGAAATAAAAAAATATGGTGCAAAACAGTCAAAAGCCTACAAATCTCTACCGATTTTGGAATTTTATAGGGCTCTTGCGTCTGTCCCAGCTATGTGTCCCCTACCTCCCTGCAGTGGCTAAAGTATTTGATACAGAGAGCTGAAATTTGGTACACACATATGTATTTTCACGTGTAGATTACAGAAAAAATATAGCTAGCCCGATTGGAAGTGATGGTTACGAGCTAGAGACGAAAGAAATTCCTCGAGTTTGGTTTATGATTTTCAATTTACATAAATAATTATATCAATATAAACAAATGATTTTTTTTTATAAAATCCAAAATCGGTAGAGATTTGTAGGCTTTAGACTGTTTTAAACGCTACTTTTTCATTTCTAACCACATTGGCGGGCGTGCAAAGAAAATTCAAAATCTCTGGTTATAATTGTAAATGGGTCAATCCATTATATTTCGACTGAAGTCGTTGCTGACTAATTTTTAAAAATTATAATACTTTGCAAGAATGATGTTGAAGTTCTTAAGAATACGAAATGAGCAGCTGGATTCTAAAAGGGCACGTAAATTTTTTCGGCCGAGAAACGATGTCCCCTGGACACTCCAAATTCATTTTTCTAACATGTTCTTTAACAGAATTCGATTGCGCATCTTTTTTTCTTAATAAGAAATTTTCCATCTTTTTCCGTTTTCGAAATATAAGAGAAAAACTGTTTTTTTGACTTCAACTCGCGACAGCTCAGACAATTTTACGAATTTCATAATGAAACAAAAACGAAAATACGTGTTATTATATCCTACGAGTGTCTAAAAAAGAAAAAAGTTGTTTTGATTGAAAATAAAATAGTTATTTATTTTTTATTAAGACATTGCGAAATTCGTGAAGTGCAATTTTCTCAATTCAGGGAAGTTCGACAAATTTTCAGCAGCAACAAACTTCCAGTGAGAAAGTTGTTCATTAAGGTCCAAAAAAGTTTTCTGGAAAGTTACAATGCAATTGGACATTTAATAAGAAAATGGTGAATGTTTAAACTTTGAAGTTGCACGAGCAGCCGAACGTTTGGCATGTGTTTGCTACCATAATAAGCTCGTTTGTATTATTTCACATCTTTAAATAATTACATCAATTGGTAATGATAAATTTATTCATTCTTAGTAAATTACAATAATATTTTTTAATTTTTATACTAAATTCTATGTTTTTTGCATATTTTCTAATTGCTAGAAAAATTGAGTTTTTAGCACCTCATATACTTTAAATTCATATTTTACAATAAATAATTAAATTTTTAATAAAATTCTTTTTATTTCCTATTCTGAAGAACTGCAAAATCATTCTTGAAAAGTATTATAATTTTTAAAAATTAGTCAGCAACGACTTCAGTGGAAATAATAATGGATTGACCCAAATACAAATTTTTTCAGGAATATAAAGACAAGAGTCCAAGGTATGTTACATATAAATTTGATTGTAATTCTAGCTACAGAAAG